GATGCGGCAGACAACCGCGGTTTGGAGGCCCGCAAGTGTCGAGATGCAAGAGACGGTTGGTGGCGTTCGCGCCGATGAAGCTCAAATTGCGACTGTTGTGTCCAGTCCAACGTGCGAGGTTGGCAGTCAAAGGTGCATCGAATCGGTTCCGAATGCTCGTGGCTGAGAAAGAACGTCAATATATCACAGCGTGCATCGTCCAGCTGTGAGGTTGCGCTTCTTGCATCGCATGCGGTAGCCCGCCGGGTTGGAGCTACTTCAAGGTCGATGTGTGCAGCGCTCAGCGACCGGCCACGAAGGCGACTTCCTGCTTCTCGGAAGCAAGGTGGCAAGGACATGCCAGCGACGAGCGTCGCTGAGCGAGCAGCTAGTGCGTTATGACAGGAGGACTGAAAGAAGGGGAGCGCGGAAACCCTCCGGTCGTACTGTACGTCGTCACGCAAGGAGATACTCGTCAAGGCGCGAGTGCATCCGAACTTGAGCCGCCGCGCTCAGAGGCATGACATTGCTTGGCATCAAGGGACCTGTAGCGCTCAAGCTCGCGCGCAGCAAGTTCGTCGCCGGCGGTTGGTACATCAATCGAATTCAAATGCGATGCACATCAATCCTTGACGATACCGGTACACGCCTCGATTGCTGCAGCACCCACACACATTCGTGTCGGGCTTGGACCATGTGAGATTCCAGTAGCGTGGATATACGCAAGGGTATATAATATATGCATTTATTATATACCCTTGATATACGGAGCTGCGACCCGTTCTTTATCAGCCAAGAGAGCTCCCCATTGCACCTTTGACTGCCAACATGGCACGTTCGACTTGACACACGCGACGCACGTGCACGCGACGCAACTTGAAGCTATCAATGCGGGTAGGGTTACGAAGCAGAGAACGCCACCACCCTCGCTCAGCCTTGGCTGTACACATGCGCGCATCTTCACTGCTCTCGTATATTCCATTTATTCCGGCTTTAAATCTTCCACTGCACGTGCAATACGGTGCATTCCTAGCACTGGCGTCCGCGGTTCGATTCAGCAGTGACGATTGTAGCTTGCACTTGGAGCGACCAAGCCAATACACCCACGAAGAAACGCGTCATTGCAAATATCATATCGCTGGGATAGTTGAAGCTGGTCGGCGAGGAGCTCCGAGAAGTTAGCTTTGGAAGACCACCGGGAGGAACGAGGCCGCGAGTCGACAAATTGTGGTGGCAGCAATAACTTTCGGTGTCGAAGTACAACACTCGTTCGCTTTGAGCTCTCATACACAATGACATTGGCGCATCGACGAAGACTCGGTCGATCGAGTATCTGCTAGTCTGATCTGCTACATACAGTTTCTCGTCACGTCATCGGATGACGTGACAAAAATGACCAGTCGCATATATTGCCATCGGCTACAACATAGAGCACTTTTCTAAAGCAGCGCAATTCACCTTGCTCTCATTGTGTGAAATACAAGACGCCGCGACCATGTTGCTTGTAGAAGATGCTTGGCTATACTTTCGTATAGAAAAGGGAGAAGCAACGAGGTCGACGGTCCTAGGTCACTGGTCCTGGTGAGCACAAATCGAAAGTCTTGTCGCTCTGATTGGCTGAAACGCTTTGGCCTGGCGTTGACGAAAATGAGGGAGACCAACGAGAAACGCTGCATTGCGTAGAGAGAGCTGATGGAGTCTCCTCAAGCACAATGCAGCAGCATCAGTGGTGCCCGAGAAGCCTCAGCGTCGTCTATCTGGTGTTGCTGGTAGTTAATTTTGGCGTTCGCCATTTTCAACCATAATTGCCATATTTTGGTGAACACAGGCCCGCCGTGCCGGCAGATCGACCGAAATGAAGTTTGATTATGAAATCGCCCATACTTGCCAGACTGCTAGACCACACTTCGGGGAGTCCAAACTGCTATGTGACGTCACCGTGCGAGCTCTGTAGCGAGAGCAAATGACAGCGGCAAGCAATATTTCCATATAGTGTGCTTTTTCGCTATACCGAAATAATGTACGAGATACAAGGCCTCATCACGCAGCGGTATCGCGTACACTTTGCCTCCCTCGGCCACATGCAACACACTCTTTATCATGAACAAATAGAGATGGCGTCCTCGGTTTCCGCGATGTCGACGCATTTTCAACCGAAATTGCATGTCGAATTTCCGGAAAACCGACGCTCGGCAGTTCGAGTTTGGTGTGAGTGCCCAAGCAACGACGGCGACCAACAAGCTGGTCGCACACCGGGTTGAGACCCATGGCCAACTGTGGCAGTCAGTTTTACGGTCCTTGGAGCTTCGGAACCCCGCGATGCGACGTGAAGTATTTGGGCAATTCTGCCACCACCTCGAAAAACGAAAAATGGATTTGCACGTGATTGCGCTACGTGCAGCGTCGGAGACGACATTTACGTCATTCAAGAAGTGTGTGGAGAGGTACATCCGGCTGCTACGTGGCGCTGGCGCGTCTGTAGGCTGCTACTCGTCGTTGTGCTGAACGGTGCTCACACTATTTAAGGCGAGGTCGTGAACCATTCTGATTGGCTAGAAAGAATCAAGAATTGAGCCAATAAAAACATCCATTTCAAATCGAATTCAAGCGATAGCTCGTGCCCTTGCTAGCACGCAGGCTCCTGTACTCGGACCTTGGCCTAGGAAATGCTTTGTCTCTGTAGCTGTAGAGCTCAAAGGGCTGCGTATTTTTGAGGTACACCAAGCGTGCGTGGTCAGCGACCTCAACCTGGCGCCATGCGTCTTCGCGCTCGGATGGTGCTTCTCGGCTGCCATGCAACGAGGCCCCAATCGTCGTATCGATGAAAACGTGCAAAATGCATGGCATTGGCTTCTTCTTATCTACGCTACAAGGAGCGTCGTGGGGTAGCGTTCCGTTGCGCTACACTCTCGTTTGATGCGGTTTAGTGAAAGTCTTGGTCGAGTCGCAGCGCCAAGAGCGTGTCGTTGTACTGGCTGAACGCGTCTTGGATGTCGTCCTGGAGCTGCATCGCGAGCGGCACGAGCTCCATGTTGACGCCCGCGCCGATCTGCGCCGACGCCGTCACGCGCGGCTGGAGCACCTTGACCGCGTGGATCATCTCTTGCAGCCCATTGTCGTTGCGGATGTCGCCTTGGCTGTACATGACCTTCTCCAGGAGCTCGTGCACGAGCTGCTCGACTTCGTGCAGCTCGGCGTCGTTGAGCGGCTCGGCGTCCGCAGCGTTCGCGATCGCTTGGCGCTCCTCCTCTTCCCACGCCTTGCGGGCTTCGGCAAACGCTTCGCGCTCGCAAATGTCGGACGTGCGCAGCGTGAGCTGGAGGAAGCGGTCCATGTGCACGTTCAAGAGCGCGTCCGGCATCTGCGTGAGCACTTGCGTCATGTACCGGTTCAACTCCTTCTCGCGCTTGATGATGAACTTTTCTTCTTGGTTCTTCCCAATCAACGACGAGAACGGGTGGCGCTTCGGAAAGCGCGGGAACCACGGCGCGCGCTTGCCCCGCTTCCCCGACGCCGCGGCCTTGAGCTCTTGGTGCAGCGAGTTGAAGTCGTTGTAGCGGCCGCCGACGAGCCACGCCGTCTTGGACTGCTCGAGGATGTCGCGCCCCCACGTGACGCGGAGCACATACTCCGTGTACTCGTCGCCCCAGTTTTCGTCCTGGAGCTTGCGGTGGCCGAGGAGCGTGCACGTAAAGATACCGCCCTTGTACGGGATCGGCGGGCCCGTCGGGAACTCCTGGAAGCGCTCGACCGGGTTGCGCATGTTGTCGTCTTCGGCACTCTCGAGCGGCCCGACGACCTCGGCGCCTTCCTCGCCAAAGAGATCGCGACCAGCCTGCGCGAGCTGCTCGGCGCGCATCGCATCGCCAACCGTCGTTTCCGACACGATCGGCGCGTCCTGCGGCATCCAGCTCAGATCGGGCTCGTGCAAGCTCTCTTGGTGGCCCATGACGGCACCGGCGACGCCCTGTGAGCCCATCGCGCCCATGGCCGAGGCCTCGCCCGCGACTCCGTGGACACCCGCCGTGCCCATGACGCCGGCGCTCGCGAGACCGACCGACCCCATCGTCGCATGGCGCGTCGCCTCGAGCGAATCAAGCTTGCGGAGCGCGGCGGCTTCGGCCTGGTGCGCTTCGGACGCAATCTCGGCCGCCCGCGCGGCTTCGTCGGCAGCGAGAACCGCGGCTTCGGCCGCGCGCTGGGCGTAGACGACCGCAGCCACACGCCGGGCTTCGTCGCGGCCGACCTTGCCGCGGTACGCCGCCTGGATCTTGAGCGCCGACTGCGACTGGAGGTACGCCATGCGCGCGTGTTCGGCGGCCTCCACCTGGCGGCGGGCCTCCATCTCTTCGCGCTGGCGGGCTTGCGCCTTCTCGGCCGCCATCCGGGCGTTGCGGATCTTGACGAGGCGCTGCACAAAGTGGCGCTGGGCCATGATCGTGTAAAACGCCGCATGCCAGCGCTTCTTGGCCGTCTTCTTGGACTCTTCGGCGCGGGCGCGGGCTTCCTGGGCGAGGCGCGCGCGCATCGCCGCGTCTTGGGCCAGGCGGCGGAGGCGGTCGGCTTCGCGCCGCGCGAGCTTTCCGCGCGCAATGGACTGGAGCACGACGGCCGCGCGGTTAATGCGAGCTTGCTGCGCCGCGAGCTTGGCGCGCGAGTTGGCAAAGAGCTCGATGAACGCGACGCGGCCACGGACGTGCGCGATCGCAATCTTCCAGCGGTGCTGCGCCGCGAGCTTGCGCTTCGCCGCCTCGCGGTGGCGCGTGCGGCTCTGCAGAAACTGCTTGCGCACATTGTACATGCGCACGATCGACTGCATCTTGAGGATCGCCGCCTTGCGCTTGCGCGTCTGCTCGAGGAGCCAGAGGAACGCGCGCTGGGCGAGGATCTTGGCGGTCGCGTAGCGCCAGCGGCGACGCGCGAGCCACTTCTTGAGGCGCGCGACGATCCACGGGCCCATCTTCTTCATGTCGACCTTGAGGAGCGCGTCGAGGAGCGCGATCTTGCCCGTCTTGAAAAACACGCGCGTGCGCCCGAGACGGTACGCGTCATTGTCGACGCGGAAGGCCCAGAGCACGGCTTCCGTGAACGTGCGTTCGTTGTAGCACGCAAACATGGGCGTCACGTTGGGCGGCAAGACGGGCTTGTAGATGCGGCAAATCTCATCGTACGAGACACGCGTCGGCAAGCCGACCTTGAGAAGCTCGCACGTCGCGAGCATGCCCGTGCAGCGGAGCTGGTCGACGACGTAGCCATTGTCAAAGACGCCGAGCGCCATCGTCGGGTTGGGCTTGACGCACCGGATAAAGTTGCAGCGCGTCGCGTTGAGCGTATCGACGAGCGCGTGCATTTGGTCGCAAAACTTGTTGGAGACGCTCGGCTTCTTGAGCGACGAGCCGGCCGAGAGGTCGGCGCCGTCCTTGTAGATCTGGGCCATGAGCGCCGACGTCGACGAAAGCACGAGGTCTTCGAGGTCCTTCGGAATCGTGTCGTTGTTCTTGTCGATGAAGTTGCCGATCGTGTACGGCACCATCGTCGCAAAGTGCTTGATGAGAAACACAAACTTCTTGTCCTTCTCGTGCGGCGCAAGAAAGTGCGCGTGGCCCGCGTGCGTCTTGTGCAAGGTCGCGTTCCACTTGTCGTCCGACGGCTTCTGCGTCCGCGCCTCGGCGTCGAGGAGCGCGAGAATGCCGTTGGGCTTGGCCGCAATCAAGTCGATGCAGTCGCGGTTGTCGGGCCACTGGATCTTGCCGACGTCAATGCCTTCGTGCAGAAACAGCTCTTGCTCGGCGATAAAAACCTGCTGGTTGAAGGTCGCTTGGAGCGCTTCGTTGGCGTAGTTGATCAAAAGCTGCTCGAAATCGTTGACGGCGAACGACTCGAACCCAAAGATATCGAGGACGCCAATGAACGGCAGCTCCGGCGGCCCGTGTCCGAGCGCCACGTTGATGTGCTGGACGATCCAGTCGAAGAGGTGCTGGTAGATCGACTTGACGATCGCGTCACGCACATAACTACCCTCCTTGGCGTTGCGCTTGATGACAAACTTCTCGCCGCGCGTCTCGATCTCGCGCTGCGTGATGACGCGCTCGAGGTGCGCGCCGTCGACGCCCAGGTGCATCGCGCACGTCGCGAGCGCCGGCGTCGTGTTGGACGAGACCTCGGCGCAGTCGCCCTCGGACGTCTCGCGGTTGACGAGCACGACGTTGCCGAGGTGCAAGATGCCCGCAAGGAGCGTCCAGACCGAGAGCTGCTTGTCCGCGTCGACGCCCACCGTCTTGAGCGCGCTGCAGACGTCGTCAAAGAGGAGCTCGTCGTCAATGTTGGGGTCGCTCACGCAGCCGCTCTGGTTGAGGTAGAAAAAGTCTTTCGGGCTTCCGAGCGAGAGCTTGGCCGAGAGCTCGTCGGACGCGCCGGCAAGGAGAAAGTAAAAGATGTGAAAGTTGCGCTCGTGCGGGATCTGCGCGACGACGCGGAACTTCTCGAGGAGGTACGTCTCGATGAAGGCGCCCATGAGGTGCAGCCGGTTGCCCGCGACCTCGGAGAACTGGAGCTTCATGAACTTACCAAAGCGCGACGAGTTGTGGTTGCGGAGCGTCTTGGCGTTGCCAAAGGCCTCGAGAATCGGGTTCGTGTCCCAGAGCCGGCGGTCGAGCTCCTGCGACGAGAGCTTCGAGGTCGAGATTGGCGCCACGTCCGAGCTCAGAATGTGCTCGCGCGTCGTGATGTAGCGCAGTACAATCTTGGACGTCTCGGTCTTCCCCGCGCCCGACTCGCCCGAGATGACAATCGACTGGCACTGCGACGGCGACCGCAGCGACATTTGCTGGAACGCAACCTCGGCGACAGCGTACGGATGCGGCGGGCGGTCGCCCATCTGCGTCTTGACGTAGTCCTTGATGTGGGGCTCGACGACCTTCCGGAGCGGGTTGACCGCGATGAGCACGTTGGCCATGAACGTGTACGGGCGCTGGTTGTCGAGGCGACTGCGCACGTTGAGGTTCTCGAGGATGCCCGCTTCGTGGATGTAGTAGAGCGACGTCATGTCGTCCACGACGCGCGGGTTGACGCGGTAGAGGTCGCCAATGTCGCGCATGTCGACCGTCTCCTGGCCGCGCGGCCCGACGACCGTGAGGATCATGCCCTTCTCTTCCTCGTGGTACTTGACGATCTCGACGATGCGCCAGACAGTCTCCGGGTCCGGCAGCCAGATCTGCGCGCCGACCTCGACCGGCGCCGCCGAGAGCATCTTCTCGACCTCGATCGTGTTGCGGCGCCGGAGCGCGGCCGACCGCTTCTTGTTCTCCATGACCAAGCGCTGGTTGATGGAGAGGTTGCTCATGTCCGTGGGCGCCCGCGCCTGGAAGCGCTCATGGCTTGGAAGCGCTGCCGCCGGCTTGATATGCGCCATGGGCCTGCTCAAATCCAATATGGGCGCCTCGCACTGCACTGACGTCAATATATATTAATATTGCCGCCAATATTTGCACCCATTGCATTTTATCACTAGAGGTTTGTATGTGGACCAAAAAACGATCTTTTGGCCCCAGCCCATTACGCCCACCTCGAAATACGGACCGCCAAATACGGACCTTCCGGCATCCCTGCGACGCCGTCGCCCGTCGATGCTAACGCAAGCTTTGTACCGTGCTCTCTGTGGGCGACTCTCCAAGCCACAGCCTATACAAACAGCGCGGGCCGATCGCGTATTGCGTAGATGGCGTGGATGACGCAGGGTAGCACCAATATGCCAGCGAAGATGACTTGGCGTTTGTATCGGTCAATATTTTAATGTTCGACGCGGCCGCGTTGCATACAAAGGCAAGTGTATCTTTCACAACCGCAACGTGCGGTCCACATCCGACGATAACGGCCAATATGAATATATAAAGTCCCTATAGCGAGGGAATGCTGCTGCGAGCCGGGCAAGATCGCGTGTTACGTCGATTTGTTACGCGGTTGCTTCCTGCCTCTGCGCCGACGACGATGGACCATGTCTACCTGCATGTCGATGGCGATGGGCTGGACGTAGAGGAAGACGCGCTCCTCGAGCAGTTCGCCGCCACGAAGCGCGTGCTGGGCCACGAGGTCACCCGCGCCAGGAGCAGCGCGACGACGCACGTCCTCTGGGTGCTCGCGCCGAACGACGGTGGCATGGAACGGCAGCTCGACGACCGGCTACAAGCACTGGCAGGCGACGCGGCGCTCTGCGTGGACCTGCTCTTCCTGCACCCACACGCAGCGCCTTACTCACAGGTACGAGCTACAGCCGAGACCATGGACAACGTTGCCATCCAGACTACTGTACTGCGTAGCCGCTCTACGACGAGCTCTTGTCGCTGCGGTGGCACGCCCGCGCCTACTGCTTTGAGGTCTGCCATGGCGACGTCGCACGCTTGGCACAGGTACTCGACGCAACGTCTTTGCTGCGGTCGTGACTTTGGCGTCCTCCTCATAGGTCCTCGGGCTCCTCCTCTCGGTGCCATCCCAACGCGTCGAGCAAGATGCGGCCGAGGCCCGCGTGGGCACGTGCTAAGGTCGGCGCAAGTGTACAAGGGACTCTATTGCTTTACTTTTTCGTCTTGGCGTCGGCCTTCTTCTTGAAGACGCCCTTGAGCACGGGCAGGATCGGCGGCGCGTCGTATCGGTCGCCGAACCGGACCTTCTCGGTCGCGCTGAAGGTATCGCGCTTCGTCGAGCCCGTCTCTTGGTACTCGAGGTCGTACTTTTCCTGGTCCGTCATCTTCTTGCGCTTGAGCTTCTCCTTCTTGGCGCTAAAGAACTCCTTCTTCTTCGCATTCGACTTGCGGTCCTTCTTCGCCTCGTGGTAAAGCACCTTGCGCACCTCGAGACCCATGCGCTGGTTGAACGCGCGCATGCTCTCGCCCGGCCGCCGGCCTTCAACGTCGGCGAGCGCGCCTTCATTCTTCTTGCGCTTCTTCTTGGTCTGGATCGCCTCGGACGACGAGGCGTCGCCGCCCAGCACGAAGCGGTCGATGGCCGCCTGGTCCAGCATCTTGCGGTCCTTGCGCTTCTTGCGCTTCGAGACCGTCGGCGCTCTGTCGTACTTGTCGCCTTCGCCGTCGCGCTTGCCCTTGAAGAACGGGTCGCACTGCTTGATCTTGCGCTTGCTTGCGAGTCGGCCCATCGCTGGTCTTGTTGTTGTGACCACCACCAAGCGACCAACCTCTAAAAATACATATTTTTACGCGTACTAGTACGTTTTAGCGCGCCAATTCTTTCCACCAACACAATCCATCGCTAACTCTCGACGACGACCACGTCGCAGGCGTGGCATCAAAATGCATCAAGCAACGGTTGTCTCTCTGCGCCATGCCAGCTTGAAGCGGCGGTCGTGCTACGTTGCATGCATCGCCTCAGGCCATCATGGTGCTTCAACGTTAGCGCAATATCAGTCTGGTTGGCGGTGGATGGACCGACGCTGTCGTCATCTCGCCGCATTACGCTGGCGATGTAGCCCTCGTCGCGTAAGCGACAAGCGTGTTGCAGCAGCTACCGGCTCGTTCCCGCGGCCCAGCTGACGACGCCCTCAACGACGTACGCTCTAGAATTCAGTACGGCGAAGGCCAGCACTTGCATTGGCGTAGGAGAGCTTTACAGTCTTCTTGCAAGCTAGTGCGTGCTCCAATTGGTGCGCTCGCAGTGCCACGCGAGACGCATGATGCTACGTGTCGGTGGCCTGCCTGCATTAAGGCGCGTGGGATTAGCCACAAACGCTCTATTTGTACAAAGAACACGCAACTTTTGGGTATGCATTCTCAGAGTGTCTCGGGTGAGTGCCCAGTTCGGGGCCACAGTTGAACAACGGCAAACTGGAGCTATTCTAGTATGGATGAGGCCGACGAGCAAGCCGCGTGGGAGCGCGAGATGGAGATGATGCTGGACCAGCGCGATAGCCGCAGCCGCAGCCGCTCCTTCTGCGGCGAGGCCCCGCGCGAGGACCAGGCAGACGGCGCCGGCTACTATGGGCGGTCGCGGTCGCACTCGCGGGCCCGCGAGATGCCCGAGCTCGTCGATGAGTCGAGCGACCATGTGCTCTCGCCGCCCCTGGACGCTGTCGACGACAGCTACTCGGGCACGGACGTCTCCCGGCAGGCTGCCGCGCTCACCAAGATCTACCTCGCCGGCTCGGCGCCCGTCGACGTCGACTCGATCACGTTCAACGACGGGTCGGGCTCCCGCGCAGCGCAGCACCCTGCCGAGACGGGCGCCTTGAGTGCCAAGGCGCTCGATATTCTGTCACAAGGCCTCGCCATGCGCACGGGGCGAGGACCTTGAGAGGAAGAGCATGACCGAGGAAGAGCTCGAAGAGAAGAAGATGGCGGAAGAAGAGGCCATCAAGCTGCAGCAGGAACGGCAACCAATGACGCCAGCGCCCGAGCTTGTCGTTGAAGAAGCGGTCGCGCCTGCGAAGGCCAAGTCGTCGCTCCTCTCGGGATTCAAGTCCAAGGTCCTGACCAAGTTTGGCCCGAAGGGCGGTGGCGGCGGCTCGAACCGCACCTCGATCACAAAGGCGACCACGGGGCGCAGCTCGCTTGGTCGCGCGCCGTCTTCGCTCTCGGCGTCGGCCACGGACGACGAGGCCAAGACGGTCGTCAAGAAGCCCCACAAGATCAAGCTTCTGCTGCTCGGCGACAGCGGCGTCGGCAAGACGAGTCTCATGCGCGTCTTCTCTGGCGACGAGTTTTCCGAGTCGATGCTGGCCACTGCAGGGTATGTTGACCCTCTCCTGTTACTCTGTCTCATACCTCTGCGTAGCGTCGATTTCAAGCTGCGGCAGCTGCGCCTCGAAGACGAGCACGACGTGGCGCTGCAGATTTGGGACACGGCTGGCCAGGAGCGCTTCCACCGCATCACCTCCAGTACGAACGTCTCGCGATGGATTTCTACAAGTGCTGATCCTCGCCACGTAGCGTACTACAAGGGCGCGAATGGCATCATCCTCGTCTACGATGTTAGCGACAAGCGCGGCTTTGACAGTACGTCCCGATGGACGGGACGCATTGATAGATTGATACATTGTAGATGTGGGCTATTGGATGAAGAACATCCAGCAATACTCGACGCCCAACATGCCGGCGATGCTGCTTGTCGGCAACAAGATTGATTTGCCGACGCGCATCGTGCCTTCCGAAGACGGGCAAGCGGCGGCGTCGCAGTACAACTGCCGGTTCATCGAGACGAGTGCCAAGACATCGGAGAACACGTCGGACGCGCTTGAAACCATCGCCCGGGACGCGCTCATCATGACCCTCAACCGTACGTCGTCTCTCTAAATTCGATCCATCCCGCTCACTTCGGACGATGGTAGCTTCCATGACGCAACGCGAGCTCCTCGAGCGCGAGCGACGCGGAAAGCTCACGCACGACAACTGCACGATCAGTTGACAACCTCCTTTGTTCGATTCGTTCGACGAGATCACAACGCGGCCGTCGTTGTCCTTGCTTCCTCCGCTTCGTCGGAGCGCCCTAATATAAAAGAAATGCCATAGAGTTGATGCGACGACGTTGTTGTTGTTGTTGTGGCGCCGACGGGCTCGTCGCATCGCCCGGGCAGTAGGAGAGCGCTGACGAAGATGGCGTCGGGTGCTTTGCAAACTGGAAGAGATGACGACGAGATACAACTAAGAAATGGCATGCAAGTGTATCCAACGTTAAACTTAGTACGACGCTAAAGCGACGACCGTCGACATCCACGTCTGGCATGTCGGGCGTGCTTCGTGGGAGGGAGCAAATACCGGCATGTGCGTCGGCGTTGGCGCGCTTTGGGCCGTCGTCAAATGGTCCTCGTGTCACGCGTCGCGCCGTTCGAGCACCATGATATGGTCGTGTGCTAGACGAAGCGACCCCTCCATCATGCGCGTCTTGCGTCAATTGGCGAACTCGAGCGCAGCTTGGTAATGCGCCGCTTGCTCCATCAGTCTTCTCCCCTTGCAAGGCGAGAAGATGCGGGCGATGGAGGTCTCGCTTGGTCTTGCACACGAACATATCGTGGTCCTAGAACGCCGCGAAGCCTGGCTGAAAGGACATTTCACGGCGATCCAAGGCGCGCCATTGCCCTTGCTGGACGTCGCTCCGTTCCTAAAAAGTAGTAATATGCCCGACAAGGAAGATACGGATATGAACATCGCAGCACAAGAGAAGACGTCGGCTTGCCAGCGAGCACGTGGACGCTCTTCTGGAGCTGCTCGTGCTGCTGAGCGAGCGCTTGCTGCTCGGTCGTGAGCGCCTCGTGCGCAGCCTTCCAGCCAGCCTTCCAGCGGTGTGCTTCTCGGTGGCGTTCGCGGTCTCGGGCGGGATGGGCGTGGCAATGCGTCGTCGGCGCATCGAGCCGCCCGCAAGACACGACCTGGTGCAGCTTGATGCCACGTCGGAGGCGAAAGCACAAATGGCCGTGGGCGATGTGCTACACTTGCATTTCATTGGACAAAATGTTTGTCTGACGCCGAGAAAACCAATGAAACAGGTTCTCGTCGTTCTCGTCGTTCCAGCCACCAAGTTGAAGCTACGTTTGCGATACTCGATCTTCTACAAAGAGTTCTACAGTGCAATGAGGGAATGGCCATGAAAGAAGAGCGACCTTCTAGGGTTGTTTCTCTCAAAACGGCAGAATCTCCTCTGGTACTAGTAGCTTGCGCTTCGCAAGACGTCCTTGAACTGCGCCTGTCGAGGTGAGGCACCTGCTCACCTGCAAAGGTCCTGGCGCGAACAGCTTGCTCCGAGAGGTTCAAGTTGCGTGCGTCCAGTCGAACGTGCACGGTGCCAGTCAAATGTGCGATTGGTAGCTCTCTTGGCTGAGAAAGAACGGGCAGCTCCGTCTATCGCACATCGTATAGCTTAGCTGCGGGGTCGCAGCTTCTCGCTTCTCGCACGTGTGTACCAAGTTCTAGCTACGACCATCAAGGCCATGAAGTATCCTATGTATCCCTTTGCTACTGTCGACGATCCTCAGTGTGAAGCGCCGAGCGACAGCCCACGAAGGCTCTGCAATGGTTCTCGAAATCAAGATGGGAAGGCCACGGCAGCGACGAGCGCCGCCGAGGTAGCAGTCAGCGCGGTATTGGAAGGCAGAAAGAAGGTGTGCGCAGGATTGACCACTCCGGATGTACGCGACGCATCATCACGCGAATGGCGCGGGTGCAGGCGAACTTGAACCGCCGCGCGTAACGCACGCTCATATACTTGATACCGCTCCAGATCGCATGGTTCATGGGTTCATGGTGCTCAGGCTCGCGCACAGCAAGCTCCGTACCCGGCTTGAAGCACATCCTGCCCGACCAGGTCGTCGGTGGCAAAACATCTGTGCTAAAGGTAACGAAAGCACAGGGCCAGGTGTCCCGCCAGGGTAGGCGTCATGGAGCCACGACTCGCTACGTCATCGGTGATGCACACGGCCGCGTAGGCTTTCAAACAAGGCGACCAAGGTGTTGCTAGCGAGCTACTAGCTACACACAGTACATAGGACTCTAGTAACTCGACCATGGTGATGCAGTTGGCTCCAGGCTGCCATCTTAGCCAACTCGACGTCTGCCACATTAGCTACGCAAATGATCGCTCTGTGTGGAAAAGGCCCATGGGCAACTTGAAGCTGTGCAAAGCGATCGCTCGTTGAAGAGCTTGCGAAGAGAACCAACGCTATGCTTCCGTCTACATAATTTTGGCTCGTGACTGGGACACAGTTGACAGTGGACAGCGTTCGAACTCACCGGTCGTTTCCTCCGCATCCGAAGATCGCGTATGGCGCATGCTGATTGGACACACCATTTGAGTTGCACGCCCTCTGATTGGCTCATTTGTCGTGTTTCCAAAAGTCCGAACGCACGTTGAAGTTGCGCAGCATTCCTTCAGCAATCCGCGCGCACAGAGATGCTTACGAAGGGCGGATTCTTCTCGTGGCCCATCTTTACGTACTAGTACCCTGTACTGGTCGCATCAAACAATACGGTACCGGTAGAAATGCCACCACGGAACCGAGAAAGCAAAGAGTCTCTCCTTCCACGACGTGTGCCTGGACATGCAGTCGCTGTGCTGGACTTTGGTCATGTAAATACGACTGCATTTCAAGCCGTCCAGGTGCCAAGGAGCGCAATGTCGGAGCACGACGAGCGGTCATACATTTTGACCACATGTTTCGCTTCCCGCATCTCGCCCGGTCTTGAATTCGATGAGCGCGACCACTGCTACCACACATCATCACCCAGTCAGACCAGTTCATCACCCCAGAATGAATCTCGGAGTGTGGTAGGAATCAACACCTCTGCGTGTGTGCTTTTGCTACACCGAGCATGGCACAGGCCGCCAACACCGGTTCTAGCTGTAGGCATCTCTGTGATGCGAATCTGCCCCACAACGCAGACGCGCTCCATAGAATAATACGAGCAATAATGCTATTCCTTTGCTGCTTACACTTGCTACACTTGCAGTACGATGGTAATCCTCTTCAAACACACGAGCACAGGTGGCGCAGGGCACGCAACCGACAGCGGACGGCGCCAAGCTCGAGGACGACACGATCGTCAAGCCGACATGCTATCGGTGCGCCATCGAGATGCGCGGCTCTCGATGGCGCCACCGATAGCATGTCGGCTTGAAGATCGTGTCGTCCTCGAGCTTGACGACCCACACGCCGTACGGCACTCGGCGCCGTTCGGAAGAGGACCTTGGCTGTCAAATCGCGCCGCTATCTTCGCCTGGTACACGACAGCAAGCTGCAACGGAGCGAATCGGCTGTCACAAGCGTCGTTGAATTGGGCTGCTCCACATGCACGCTACAATCGTCACTGCTGAATGGAACCGTGGACGCTAGAGCTAAGAATGTCCATGGGTTTCGCGTTTGCGATGAAGGAGTTGAAGCGGGAAAGACGGGAGTGCGATTGCAGTCGAGGTGCCCGCATGTGTACAGCCAAGGCAAGCGGTAACGTTACTACATTTGTAGCGTTCTCTGCTTTGTAACCCTACCCGCACTGATAGCTTCAAGTTGCGTCCAGCCAAACGTGCATGTTGGCAGTCAAAGGTGCGAGTGCGAGCTGTCTTAGGCTGCGAAAGAACGGGCCACCGCTCGGCATATTGCGCAGAGTGTACAGTCCAGCTGCGAGCTCGTAGCTTCCAGCCTTCCATGTTACTAGCATCTCACGTGGTCCAAGCCCGACATGAATGGAAGGAAGTTGCAGCAATCGAAGGTGCCATGATGGATCGTTTGCATCGCATTCAACTCGATCGCGGTGCCTAAGACGCCTAGCGTACACATAACGCTACGTGCTATATCTTTTTACGATGAAAAAGATCGCCGCTTACTACGTGGACGATCGCCACGGCGAAGCTCCATCATTGTCAAAGTCATGTCGTTGCATTCAGGGACTATGCAGTGGCATGTCGCGATGGGCGGCAAGGGGTCACCTAGGAGCAATCGAATTGTCCTCCTACCGACAGTGAGAAGGATTGCCGTACACCAAGTTGAGCTACTTGTGCGAGACTCTTTCGTCTATAGAGTATCCAGATTGCATGAAGGGAATAACCATAAATCTTGTCAGGGGAGTTTCTCTTAAAACATCACAGCAATAACTTTTCTGAGAGCCTGCTTATTGCAATTCGACGCCACCCGAAGTGCGCCTGTCGGGACGAGGCGTCTGCTCACCTGTACGGCCGCCGCCGCTGCGTGCGCCGTCTGGACAGCTTGCGACGCCCGCTGCAGAAGAGCTCAACCTGACGACGGCGCTTGACATCAATCACGTGGCCGCCGTGTTCCATGCCACTGCGCGCAGGAAGCCCGCGCCCAAGAGCCAAAAAAGGAGCTACGAGGCGCTGGCAGCGTCAAGATACACGCTGCGTGGCAGCCGAGAGGGACACACCAGCGCGAAGAGACGCCAGGTCGAGATCACCGAGCACGCACGCATGGTCTGCCTCATGATACAAGCGGCCCTTTGAATCTAGCGACAGTAATACGAGTGAAAACACGACGTTTTGTCGGCTAGAATGGCTTCTTGTCTATTGTCAATGTGCTCGGTCGGTGTCTGGATGTATATCGAATGCGTGGTTCGGGCAGGCTCATTTGCAAGTACTACCAGCACGAGGTCCTTGGGAGTGAGCTCAGAGATCCATCCTGTGGTAGAACCCACTCACCAAGGGATAGCTCGCACGCATGCTCCTGTACTCGGACCACCGGAAAGACGAGTGCAAGCCATTATTGTATGCGTTTCCATGCAATCAGGCGTACCAATGCATACTAGCAGCAAAGTCTTTGAGTTAGATTAATCTAAACTAATTTGATTGCAACGCGAAATACGTTTGATTGATTGAATGTTATGGAGACTACATTTCTAGCCGGGCACGCGGGCCGAGCTGGCAATGCAGCTAAATGGTGGCTCCCTACAATACGATGTAAAAATGTGTCAAATACAAGATGGAAACATGCATACCGTCGGTGGAGCCTGGATGATCGTCGGCAACTCTTGGACAAATCCAAGCTCCGCTGCCTTGAGCAATACAGCTCGCATCAAAGCCGCGTCCACGACGAGACCGCGCGCTGTCTTCGCGGCAGCATCATCTGTCGCGCCCGAGACAGGCGCGGTGGTGGCCGCGTCGGCGACAGGCACCTTGACCATCGCAAGAGCGACGTTTGACAAGATGACGCCGAGGCACAAGCCGTCGACGTCCTCGAGGCCCGCGAAACACACCTTGGGTGTCAGGAACGCTTCGCTCGTTGAGCAGATGGCACCGAAGCGAGCCTGCGCGAGGCCATGGCCGCCATCTTGCTGTCCAGATCGGGCTGAGACCGACCCGTGTCGCGGTGGTCTACACGCGCTGCCATGGTCACGACCGCGCGTCGAGTTCGTTCTTGAGGTGCGTTGGACCGTCGTCCTGCGCCGCCATGCTGCTAGAGAGCGGCCATCGCGGCGCCTGCCGAGTTGCTGATGCAATACGCCGTTTGGTCCAAGCGAGCAAAGCAAATTTGACGTCGACGCAGATGAAGTGTGATTTTATTTGAATTAAAAAACACTCACGTGTCAATTAAAATAATATGTCAATGGGTGAGTATCAAGTATACGCAGTGTTTATTGTATTGAGATGCAACGTCGCCAAATTGCATTTGAATTGCGTCGGACTTGCAATAAAATCCCCCTTGACCTCGAGCTATTAGACGTTTTGTATGCAGTCAACGCCATCAGATCGACCAATGACGTGGCGCGTTTCGAAGTGCATAGGAATGATGGTCTTACGGCTCCGGTACAGCCTGTGCACGTCGCTTCGATGGCTGTGCACGGTATACACAAGCCAGGTACTCTTTCCTTCTCAGCCAAGAAAGCTCGCAATACTAGTAGCATTGATGGACTTTGGACGTGCAATAACATCGTATGGACGCTGGGCTGGACGCACGCATTTCAACATGTCGGCGCGGGTAGGGTTACGAGAAAGTGAACACGACCCTCACCGCCGGGCTGCTGTACTTACCACACGGTGGGGCCTGGCTTGCTCAACGCGCGTCTTACGTACCTCCACGCCGCAGCATCATGACCAAGCAGGTCGCAGTCAAAGACGTCTGCAGTCCCATTTTCCCGGTGGCCAACGGCCCGTGGACGCTCGGTGCCATTACGACCAACGCGGTCGACTGCCCGCAAGTTGGCTCGGTCCTCCAACTTTACGTGCAGCTGCTTACGACGACGCTTGCGCCGTCCACCAACAAGACGCCGCTTGTGGCCGCGGACTCGCTCGGCGGCAGCTTTGGGGCCGTCGACGAAGATCGTGACGCGGTTCGACAATCAAGGTCCTCCTCCGAACGGCACCGAGTGCCCAACTGCCGCGTCGCTCGCGAAGATTAAGGAAGGCGCTACGTGTAGCCGACATGGTAGTCATGATGCGCGGCAACGAACCTGTCGGTCACCTGCCGAGCGTCGCCCGTGCTTTGTCCAGCAAAAGGATAAACATCCAAGTTGTTGGGCAAGTCGTCTTTCACATGGCTTCTTCGCTCAGGGGGAAAAAGGGCGCGAGGCCTGCATTACCGCTGCACCTCGGGTGAGGCGTGGCGGGTTGCTTAGCGGAGATCGAAAACTAGAATGCTAGGCTCTTCCGACCAGTCGTTGGTTTCGCTGAGCCGCCTTCTCTTGAAAAGACCGTTTCGACTCCTTGCAGGCGCGAAACACCCAGTATGGTCGCTGCAACAGATGGTAGTGACGGTCCTGCTCTCCTGTTTCGTATCCCTTATCCGCGCCCATCCCGCGCCACAGGTTGAAGTTGCGTGCGTCCAGCCCAACGCACAATCCGCATTATTGCCAGTCAAAGGTGCTATGGTGAGCTCTCTTGGCTGAGAGAGAACGCGTCGTTGGTTTGCATATCACACAGCAGTGTACAAACAAGCGACGGGATCGCGGCGTCTTGCATTTCACGCATGAGCAAGGTGATTGTAGCTGCTCGGAGATTCGAAGCTGGAGGAGACTAACAGCATGTGATAGGATATCACGTCATCCGATGACGGGATGAAAAACGCACGAATTGGACCCGCCGTGCGTATATTAGCGGGTGGCTTTTTGGCATCATGGATACTCGTGCTGACAAGCAGGCGTCATTCATTCTTGCATAGTACCAGGTAAGTTAGCTTCCCTCGGATCTATCTATTAATAGCAACGAATGAAGATCAAAATCGTTATCCCGTGCGCTCGTAACATACTATAGTAAGGGACCCTTACTATAGTATGTTACGATGATGTGTGGTCGCAGTGGTACCACTACCGCTCGGACGCGCCTCCGCTGCGCACCCACAGCATACGATGCCAGAGCTCGACGACGACTTGAGCGACCACGAGCTGTCGCCGCCCCTGGACGCCGTCGACGACAGCTAGTACTCGGGTATGCACGTCTTGCGGCAAGCTCACTAAGATTTAACTCGCCGGCTCGGCGCCCGTCGACGTACTATGCAATAACGAGTGACGCATGCTTTGTCAGCACGAGTATCCAAGAAGGCACCCGCTGATCATGCCCGCTGATACAGTATAGCAGCAGGACGTCGAGAGGCGGTTGTGCGGGCTCTTTCACATCTTCAACAGCGCTGGCGTGCGTCACTGGCTAGCGTGTGGAACCCAAAGCTGGTGCATTTTGTTTTGCCTCATTTTCCAAAACGATGGCAAGCCCCGAGTCCGTAGCCAAGCAGCACCTCAAGGCCTCCGTCACCGAGGCGCAAGCGCAGATCGAGGCCCTCGAGAAGGCCGGACGGGACAAGGCGGTTGCGACGGCCCACACCGTTCAAGCGCTTCAAGAAGAGAACGCCGCGATCAGTGCCCGACTTGCCGCGGTCAGTTCTCAATTTGAGGCGCTTCAGCGCAGCCGCGACCAAGACGTCCAGGCCGCTCGCTCGGCCGGCGCCAAAGATTTTATGCATCGCGCGTCCAAGGTGTTCGCGCTTGGGTCACGTGAGGCGCAGAAGCGCGTCTTTGAGGTCGTCATGGCGCCGGCAGCAACTCAAGACGCTCTTCTTGAGCAGTGCCTCAAGGACAAGATTTACATGACGATCGGCTTGCGCTCCGAGGCAGGCGCGGACGGTAAATATTAAATTCTAGTGGATTTTCACTGAATCGTCTAGCGGATTTTGGAACACTGAAATTCTAGCGGATTCAAGCCAAATCGTACCTCTAGGTAGGAATTAGCTCCTGTGGTGTAAGTACCACAATATATGGATGTTTTGCGGAACCAGCACGATATGTGGATGGATTTTGACCATGTATTACGAGTTGACCCATACTTTTCGAAAAGGCAGCACATGGGCTCTGGCTCGGACGAGCGTGGCAAGCTCGGTCGACGTCACCTTGATGCCGAGTCTATCCGACGCCTCGACAAGCGTCGCCAGCTCCTCGACGCCGAGGCTTTCCTTGACGCCGCCGTCGAACGTGACCTCCCACTTGTGCACGGTGCCGGTGCAGATCTTGGTCACCGTGCCGCGGACGACGGTCTGTTCAAGACGCCCAGTTTCGGGGTCACGTTCCCGGGCGGTGACGACTCGGCCGACGACCCAACCGAAGCACTTGGCGGGCTTCTCCGTCAACGTCTTCATGAGCTTGGCCTTGGCGGAGACCTTGCCGCGGGTCGACTTGGCCAAGCAGTGCCCCTTCTTTGCCGGCTTTCCCGGTGTCTTACGAAGCGGGATGGCCGTCAGCGCTACTTGAAGGTTGATGTCGTTGCACAGCGATATGGCGGCGACGACGTGGCTGCACACCCACCCGTTCTTGTAGTAGCCCTCGCATTCACATACGAACTTCGCGCGAATCTGGCGTATCTAAAAGACTCGGTGCGTTTAATAAGAAACACGATTCAAACAATACCTGTTGGATCGTCCAACGAGCGGTGCCGTTCATGCCATCCACATGCACGTCGTTGTTGACGCGCACTCTGTTCAGGAAAAGGAAGAGCTTCTTGATGTCGTTGAGGTCGGTGAGCTTGCCGAGCACACCACGCAACATTTTGTGGCTCGCATCGACGCGACAACCTCCAGCACCAGCTGGAGAAGATTGATGATGAAGAGGACATGTCTAAAAAGCCCACCATTTCCTCCCCGCCGGAGGATATTTGTCCAGCCGTCAAGCCGTGCGGCGAAAGCTATGCTGCAACAGAAAGCATTGGCTCACGATTGTGGCAGTTCTTGGGATCGAGCCCCGTGGTGGCTTCCCGCGCATCACAGGATCGTATTTGGCGCGTGTTGATTGGACCCCGCATTTGAAATGCGCGCTCGGGATTGGTGGCCACGCAGATATTGACGCCTTCTGATTGGCTTATGCGTCCCGTAAACCGTCACCAAAATGCTGGACGCACGTTGAAGCTGCGTTGCGACGCGCGATCGCCAGGCTCCAAACGCCCGCAGCCAACACCCACAAGGCTTTGGTCAGCCATTCCTTCATAAAATCCGTGCGCACAGAGATGTGGCGCGATTGCGAGGGGCAGAATCTTCTCTCGGTCCTCCTTCTAACTTTACAATTTGTAGTACCCTGCACTGGTCGCACCAGACAATACGGTGGGAATACCACCACCGACTGCACCCACCCGATTATAAGGAGTCTTTACAACCACCCCACATACTCGGGCATGCAGTCGCTGTGTAATCGTCCGGTCTTGAAACCATGACTGACATACGAGCCACCGAGGCGTCGAGCAGCGCAATGTTTGAGCACGACGGACGGCCATGTTGGGCATCCGCATCTCTTGAATTCGGCGAGCGCTACCACAGCTGTACAGCATATCATCGCCCAGTCAGACCAGAACTTGCCCAGTCCATCGCTCCAGATGGAATCTCGGCGTCGCTTCATCGGCGGTAGGAATCAACACCCACGCGTACTACAGTAGTATGTGCTTTCGCTCCACCGAACATGGCGCAGGCCGCCAGCACCTTTGCGTCCATGCTCTACGCATTTCGAACGCTTGTAGCGTGGCCGGGTCCTATTCGAACGGCGTTTGCGACCTGCAGATCGTTTCGTGGTGCATTTGGGCGAGATGAACGCGAGCAGCACATGAGGCTGTTGCTTTGCATGAGTATCTCGACAAACTGATCCATCTCGCAGGACCAAAGATTACTCATCATCAACAAATATACCAGCCAGCGGTCTCCGTTTCAATTCCCTCGTCC